TCTGGCTATTGTTGTAGTTCATAGCATCATAGCTGGGTTGGACTGTTGCTTGCTTCTCTAATTTGGAAGCTTGCATAGCACCTTCTGGTACCATAAAAGATAGTTTGTATGGAGAAGGCTTTCAGGCCTCTTCTAGTGCAGGACTCTTTAGGCCCTGTGTCTGAAGTGCATGGTGTCTTCAGCAATAGAGACTTACCTTCTATCTCTGGGGGGAAACCAAGGGCAATAGTAATGGCCTAAAATGTTTTGGGAGTCTCTTGAATAACTGATACCAATAACTCAAAAGAGGTTTTTTTTTGTGCCTGGTGTTAGTTTTTTTGTTAGGTGGTCTTTGGCTCTTGGAGGAAGCATTGAAAGCCCAGAAGGGAAAACTTCATTTGAACTATATATATTTATATGTATATTTATAAACAAATATATATATATATATATATATATATATATATATATATATATATATATTTAGGTCAAGATTATCCTCTTAGGACTGCTTTCATTGTGTCCCATAGATTTTTGTATGCCACACTTTTATTTTCATTAAAGTCTAAGAATTAAAAAAAAATCCTTCTGGTTTCAGAAATAACTAACACTACTGGTTATCCTTCAGCACAGACCCTATTGTTGAAGCCATCACATACTTGATGGAATGTGTAGAAGCCAGTTGGTATTAACTGGAAGTTTAATTCATACTGACTATCTCTACAGTGCTAGAAGGTTCTATGGAGTATACCACAGGAGGAAAGTAACCATCAATCATACCTAGTTATAGGGCTCTCCAAGCAATAGCAATGACTGGACTGTAGACGTGCCCTCTGGTACAATGATGAAATAATTGTCCCGGGAGTAACAACCTTCTGATTGTATCTAAGGCCCACTCTTCAAGATGACACTCATACTTGACATTGTTATTTGGGTCAAGACAGTACATAGGCCCTAGGGCTACTCAGGTAGTATATACATAGTTCTACCAATACGTGATTTGCATGTTATTTGCATGAAGATCTGTGTGATTGGACTGTGTGGTTATTTGAATTCAATTATGAGCATGAAGATTCCCTGCGGCCATTAGGAATGGTCCCTTATTTTTCTCCTGTATTCATGAATAGAGGAAGCTATGGTAAGAGTGAAGGCATGTTCCAGCCAAGAACTTCTTACAGGACAGTGTAGCATGGGCTCTGTCAAGAGCTAGGTGGGATGGGTGTGAAGGATGGGAATCTGGAACTCCATGGCAACGGCCACCAGGATGGCAGTCACCGTGATGTAGGGTACAATGTGACCTATCTCTGTTGAGGAAGCCTGTAGAATGAACCCTAACCCTAAGGAGCTAAGGACTGAACTTGTTCCCACTGCTACATGCAGAAGCCATGGTGCTCAATGAATGGTGGGTCCTGGTCACACTTTTGTCTCCTTACAGCTTTTGTGCCTGACAGAGTGCTAATCATATACCAAGCTAAAACATCCTGATTTTGTGACCAAGTATGAAATTTGTTAGCTATGTAATATTGCCAAAAGCTATATGACAATACTGGACGTATTTCTCTTTTAAAAGTGAGTCTGGATCTCCTAGGAGCAACCTGATAGTAAGCAGGACAAGGGGACAAGTGTTAAATGGTCCTCAAGTTTAAAACACAGCAGACCAGGGGGGTTGTCAAACCATCAGAGTGAGAATTAGCTTTGCTCCGTGGTTTGCAAGTTTTCTCAGTTATCCCAAAGTGGATCTCTGTCTACCTTTGATTGTCTCTGGCCAGTGTTCAACTTGCCTGCTTCTGCACCCACTCTCCAAGGTCCAATATGCCCTGCAAAGGCTGTTTCTCATCTGTCTTCTTCCTCACTATCCTGTGCACCTGTTAGGGGGATTGTCGCTTCCCTCTTATGAGAGTCCCTCCTCCCCTGATTTTGACAGTAGCATAATGCTCTGTGCTTTCTCCTTCAGCCTCCTTCCCTGAAGCACTCAACTTCCCACAGGACTGTCACCATTCTAGGACTCTCTTTCTCTACATTCTCTAAACAAATGAATTTCTACTCACAACCAGTTCTTCAACTCTCCACCCTTGGGAGGTGACACTTAACTTTGTAACTTATCTCAGTTTCCAACGGCCTCTTCAACATTCCTCTTGGATTTGCCATCACTGTTGGTAATCCAAGTATTCAAAGACAGTGAATTGTATTTGCTGTAAATTGCTCTCTTGTTTTAAAGCCTTAGGGATAGGTCTTATATTGCTGGGCTTCTGGAAACCCAGACCCACATCCTCAGAAGAATACTTATGTGCTTCTATCAATCACTTGGCAGCCACTGCTACTGATATACATAGATCATATTTCACATGAATTTGTTTTTCTTTACTGGGCATTGAACCCAGTTCCTCATGCATAGTGATTAGGTGGTATTCCACTGAACAAAATCACATCTACTTTAAAAAGGTCCAGCCTTGAACTTGTGATTCTCCTTTGTCAGTTTCCCAAGTATCTGGGGTTACAGGCCTGGTGGCACCAGAGTTCTACATGCAATGAAAGGCGCACATCTCTGCAACTTGGAGTGTTTCAGTTGTAGCTCATGTTCCACCAAGAGAGCTTGCTCTCTTTGCTTCGCAAGGTCAAGAATAGCCCAGGACACATCTCCACTTAGTTTTACAGGATACAGGATACTCTGTGTGGAGACTCTGCCCACAAAGCCTTCTCCATGACACTGCCAGTGAGATCCTGGCTTGAGGTACACACTGGCAGAAGTTGGTGTCTAAAATCTGAAGGAAGCTTTAGCAACCCAAGGTTCAGTTATCTTATTAAGGACTCAAATACTAGTCGGTTTGTGTTGGAACTTCTGGATAAATGAGACTCAGAAATGTTCAAGTTTTCAGATGTGGTCAGGTATGTACTCTCTAACATGAGTACAGTCTGGGTAGAATTTGGTGTCCGAACACAAGAGAACTATGGTCACCAGGAGAATGACAAGCAGAGATCACGAGGAGCCTGAAGAGACTGCACAGGTTGTTTGCCCTAAAGCAAGCTGTGTAATTACCATTTAGGGATTGGGGACTTTGGAGATCAGAGTTATAGAAATACATTTCCTTAACCAGTGATTTCTAATATACGTCCTGGGCTTCCCAGAAACTTGACTTACTTTCCTCTTTGGTCTTATGGAAGATACTGTGTGTCCTCCCATTTGATGGTAAAGTTAGGTGGTAATGCTCACCTTCTGTTAATAGACTAGCCACAGACTCCTCTACATCACAAGTGGAGATGTATCGGCTGGCCAGAGTGTCCCTACTGGTCTGGGGGAAGTATTGCTAAAAACAGTGGCTTCTTAGGCAAGGACTGTGGTTTATTTCCTTTATACATGTGACAGCACCTAATTTCTTCAGACAGGAATCTTTCCTCCAGAGGCAGAATTCCCAGGAACAAGGGGGTCAGCACCACATAACAAAGGGGATCAGAAGTAAGATAAACAAGACAAAATACACAAAGCTTTGTGGTAGTTTGTTTTGCTGCAGAGTTTAAACTCTTCCTTTCCATTTGAAAACAACACTTCCTATTATGTCCTATTAGTACAAAAGGGGTTGTAATTGGTCAGACTTCACCTAGATTGCCATCATGTGATGTGTTCCCACGTGTTACTCTAGTTCTTATAACTGTGATGTTTTATTGCTAAACCATGATTATTAATAAAGATCAAAGTACCGAGTAACATAACAATTGATCCAGTATTGAAAGATCTTATTTCATAGGCTAAGATTAACCACAACAATGCCAAGTGCTCCTTAGCTTCTGCTGCTGATACTCTCACGTGAGAAAGGATGTCTATTTTTCATACATATAGTCTGGATTTTATCTACTAAGTTCATTGAGTATATTTATTTTCTATCATAAGCATTGAATAGAAAAAGAAGTATCGGGGGCTCATGTAGATTCCTCTGAAAAACACCACTCTCTTCTCAGTGGAAATCCAGATTATAGATGCTTCTGAAGAACCAAACGGTGGCCATTTGGGATGAATGTATATTCAACTGGTCATCAACACAATGAAAGCAAAATCAATGAAGAGTCTGGTGCCGCCTTGATATTTTGTTCAGTGTGTGCCTTGTTACAAACCATGACTCAACTGCTCATCATCTTTTGCCAAGGGGGCCTCATGGGGACTTTGGGCTACATCACACACTCAGGTGAAGCCTTTCCATACACTTACTACTTACCTATCCACCTACTCTCTCCTTTCTTCTTCCATTGCTGATCATCATTCTTTCCCTCCCAGTCTATAAGATACAAGCTTTGTCTTATATCTCTCCATGTACATATTTAAAAAAAAAAGAAAAATTGGTTGGCTTAAATAACTTTGATCACTCCAAATCTTCTTTTGTAACTATACCTCTGATGCCAGGGGATCCTTTCGGAATCAGTTAATCACAGTCTGGTGTAATATACTCTTAAAGATCCATAGACAGCAAAGACATCCTTGATCTCAAAGAATTGCTGATGTGAGCCGGGCCATGTATTCAGACTCAGAATTATAAAGAAGATAACAAGTTCTTCCTGGAGGAAGGTCCTCAACACATGTGTTTATTTCCCTCGGAGTGAAAAATTGAAGAAGGCAAGTCAGCCGTTAGGCTACAGTAAGTGGTAGTACGTTCTCTGCTTTGATAACATGACTGTTTCATCTCATGACACAGGCAATACAAGTGTCCTCGCCCTTGATGCTACATATTTATCTTTCTGCACGGATGGAAGTACACTTCTTTTAGGAAACCCAGATAGTCCTTAACACACAAAACAACATGGTATATAATTTATAGGACAATCCATATATAAAGCTGCTGCCTGCAGCTCTTCTCTGGACGTTAACTTTTCATTTTCCAAACTCTGCGTGAGTAAAGTATATTTGAATCACTGCCAACTTTGAGAAAAACCACTGTTTGCAGACTGAAAGATAGAACCATTGCTTTCAGCCCAATTAAACTATGTAGAGAAAGGGGCGGGGCAAGTTTTAAAGGAAGATGGCAGCCAATTTCTTTTGTTATTTATTTTTTTTTATTTTTTTTCCAAGAACAGTTAACATTTGCCAGGCACCTGTCGGCCTCAGTCACTTGCATCTAAAGAGCAAAGCTAATTTACCCACAGCCCACGTCCTCTGAAATGGTTAGCCTTATTTCTTAGCTCTGTTAACCACTAGTCTAACGTTAGCTTCGAGTTCACTTTTAATCATTTAGCTTGTAATTGTCTACTGCTCCCTGCCACATAAACAAACAAAAAACAGTTTGAGAGGAAATAAGGTGAGCAGTTTACATCTTCTATGGATACTTCAAGTAACTGGCCTCAAAGGGAAACTACCGGGTCGACCATGGTTTAGCACGTTCTGAGGGCATAAAATGTGAAAGGGATTGACCTGTAGAGAGAGCTGGCGTCCAAGAATGTGTGATCGAGTGAAAAAAATCCTACTTTATCTCAGCCGGCCTAATATCCTGAGCCACTAGATGGTGAGAAGAGTGGATACATTACGAGAGGAACAGACTGATTCACACTGATGCTGGAGAAAAACAAAGGCTAGTACACACGATGGACAGAGGATGAAACTGCTTCTATCCGAATACAACCCCACACAGGTCAGCTTTGCATGTACACTGACACACTCGCACCCCCCCCCCCACACGCACGGACACACGAGCAAGAATGTGTATTTTGTAAGATTGGTCCATGGAAATAGACATTCTTAGCAAGGATGGATGACAGATCAATTGTAATTTATTTTCTTTTAACACTGTATCATCATAAAGAAAACTGGTATAAATGAAAAAAGAATCTATTTCAAATATCTACATCTAGAATTTTAGGCAGTGAAAAAGCATTTTGTTGACAAGGGGTGTGGAATGACGTGTTAGCTTGGGAGAGACTGCTGGATGCCGCATTTAGTTGCCACAAACAAATCACATATCAGAACGAACAATACTGCTAAATATTCCTTTTTTTTCCCTGTTTTTTTTTCTCCTTTTTTGTTAAAACATACTGGGAGAAAGAAAAGAAAAGAAAACTGGAAACCCATACATCTTTCAAAAGTTTGAAATTGAAGCAATATTTAGAACCATTGATGAGGAAACACAGTGGCATTGGTGTAATATACACAATGCACTCTTCATCTTTAATGTACATCAAATACTTTACAACAATGCATTAACAAAAGGCAAGAGACGTCTTGCTGTACAGAGGAACCCCAATGCAACTTGAAGCCTAGAGTCACACGGATGAAGAGAGTAAACAAAGCGTGAGAAGCCGTCCCCCATAGTGTGTAAACTATTCTGTCTTGTGCTTAGCGATAACCTCCATGCCCACCACCCTGACTGTCTCCTCTCTCTTTCCTCCAGCCGCACGGACTATAAAGCACTTTCAAAACGCTACAGTTCAAACTAGAAAGGTGTTGAATACGGTCACAATTAGGATTGCTTGCGTTTAGCTATCGATATTTCACAGTTAACTCTCGATTCTTTTTAGCTCTCTAAAATAGCTCTGAGTATTTCTTTCCGGTTATCACAGCCTTCCTACGGAACAGGCTTTAACAAACTAAATTTGCAGGGAAAGAAAAAAAAACAGAAAGAAAGAAAAGAAAAAGAAACAGAATGTCCTGTGGTGTATGCATGCACATGCACTGTCCCCGGAGTGTCTCGTGTCCTGGCTCCTTACACCCAGGAGTCGGGCGAGGCCGGGTAGTGGCTCGTTTCATAGTTCAGTTCACTGTAAGGACGGGCAGCGGAGTAGAAGTCGACATAGTTGCCAGTGGACTTGAGGCCCAGGTGCATGGTGTACTCGCTGGCTGGAGGGCGGTGATGGACCTGGTCCTCAAAGAAGGACTCATCATAGTTTCGTGTGGAATTCTGAAAGGGCTGGTAAGTCTCGTAGTCTTTCCTGCTGGGCTCCTGGGGGACAGGCTGTGTGGAAACCTGGCAGAGAGAAAGCGTCATGGTGGGTTAGTCGGATCCCTGACCTGCCCTCTCTCCTGGCCGCTCTATCACTCTGCATAAAAAGGGGTGGAGCCTGCCCCAGGCTCTTTGTACACGCTGCCCTCGGTTATGTCCTTTCCGTGTAATTTGACTTGTTATTTTCAATTTCACATCTTTGGGGCACAGTTTGGTAATTCGATACTGGTATTCTATGTGTTGAATAGCAGTTCAACCTCCTTGACCACATCTTTTTTGTTTTTGTTCTGGGACTCTTCAACCTCCCCGCTTACATGAATTTCACATAGTGGTACTATAGATGCGGGCACTCACTTCCACTGTCTCATGGGGGGTCCTTACTGGCTTTCTTTTCTTTCCTCCTCTTCCTTTCAACTCTTCCTAGCTCTGCTGACCACTAGTCTACTTGCTTCTGTGAAAGTAACTTGGGACTTGGGTTTTAGTAGCCATGTATAAAAACAGATTTGTCGCTCTTATACACGTCGTTTAGCAGCTGTGTGTAAGAATACATTTGATCTTTCTGGTGGTCTGGCCAGGAAAGAGGGGGATGTGTAAAGTCCAATAACTGGTCCAGGGGCCTAGGGGGATCATCAGTGGATAAAGCCCTTCCTGTGGAATTGAAGACCAGAGTCTGGATCCTCAGAACATACACAAATGTTGGTAGGTGTCGTGGCAGTCTATAGCCCCTGCACTGGGGAGGTACAGGATTGGTGGTTCGAGGTTCTATACTCACTAAACTTATTACCCTGTAAATGTCCACGGTGATTTCTGTCTCTATGAATTTGCCTACTTTTGGAACCTCCCGTGAGAGGAACCACATAGTGGTTATGTTCCTGTGTCTGGCTGCTCTCTCCCAGTAAGTTTTCATCATTTCTGCATGCTGTATTTTTCAGATTTATTCTGAAGAACAAATAATATTACTTTAAGTGGATAGATCACATTTTGTTTATCCACTTTGGCGGATAATTGGATGCACCTCTCTGTCTATTTTCTTTGGATCTTTTGGGGTATGTACCTTGGATAAGATAGCAACTCCATGTTTAACCTTTTGACCAGCCCCCAACTGTCTGCCATAGCAGCCCTGCCATCTTATGAGGCAAGCTGAGGAATAAACTCTATAGAATAAAGGACGTTCATTTTATATTTCCTTGTTTTTTTTTTTTGTATCATACAGACGCTGCAATATCAAAGATGGTGGAAACGTACAAGGTCTAATGGCTACCTATCTCCTGCTTATAACACATTCTTGTGATTATGTAAGGAACTGAGGCTTCCCTGTGGTTGGTTCACATCACCATACCTGCCCAAGTGACCAGGACCTCAGACAGATGCACACTCCATATTCTACTTTCCGGAAGACCAAAAGTTTACTAAGACTTGGTGCAATTAAAATCTGATTTAATTAAAGAATGTTGCAGGAACAATGGCTTGCATCGTAAAACCACATATGAGAGAGGCTGGGGCAGAAGGATGCAAAGTTTGAGGCCCTGGGGGCTCAAGGCCAGCCTTGGCAAGGTAGCGAGAGACTCTGCCTCATAGTTCAAGTTTAAAAAGGCTGAGTTGCAGCTCGTTGGAGGAATGCTGGCCTATCATGCATGAGGCCTTGGGTTTATTCCTCATTGCTTCAGGAGGAATATGATGCTGTTCAGTAGAAGGTGGTGTCTGCACTACTTTCTCATGTCCCAGCCCAACTCAATACTCTTTGTACTTGGCCTCTGTGGGTTACTGTCTGGTGTAGGGTCTAGAGACATTCAAGGGTCCTAAAAGCCTTGTTAGAAGTCAAATTCCTTCCTTCTGCTTGGCTTTAAAGAGAGATGAGCAACATTCCAGGGCTGATGATATATTAGCCCCTACCACAACCTACCCCAATTTATTTCTGTTGACACTGACTCTAGAATTCCTTGTCAGAAACTTGATCCTTCACTGTGTACAGATATTTTTAAGGTGTAGAATGAGGGTGACCCCATAGCCAGTGTCCATAGAGATGTGCAAAGTTCTATGGCTTGTAATAGCCTTGATGTCTGGCATGGATTACAAAACACTCTGGGAAAGATACAGTTTGATTACTTTTCAGCAGATTCAGTAATTCCCTATTAATTTTACTAAGGTTCAGCATGGTAGGCTCTTTAAGAAATGGGTTTAGTTAATAGGTAGTGATTTGTAATTAGCAGAGTGTGTGTAAATGAACACCTCTCTCTAATGGCCAGCATATAATTCTTCTCTCAAGTAAGCGGAACTCCTTCTTTTATATAGAATTGATTTATCCTAGCAATCGATCAGTTCTCCACAGAAGTGGTGAACTTCATCACAGTGGCCTCTCAGGATGCCTGCACTTCTAGTTAATGGTGAATGACTGAGACTTCAGTCTTCCTGTGAAAGTCAGGATGTTCAGAGAGCATTAACCTCTGCTAGCCCGAGACCCTGAGCCTGAGAGGAATTCTGGAAGTAGCCTGAAACATCCAGGTCTAGTGGGCTACATGCATGCCATGCTTGAGAGGGCACCCTTCGCATTCCAGAAATAGCTGTTCCCTCTGCAAGACTGTATTGCTGTCCAAGCTTGGAGCTCATAAAGGCCCAGTCAGAAGGTTTGGAAACATGTAGAAGGCACTTTCTAGAACTCACTGTCTATATTTCAGTAGGCATCACTTTCAGTATTGAAGAAACTGTTCTTTTCTTATTCCTCAAAGGACCCAGAAGTGTGCATATATGCATGCCACATCAAGGTTGATGTGATACCTGTTCCTTCCATCTGTCTACTTGCTCATCTGTCTGTCCATCCCATTCCTATTTTGTAGGCGAGGAAACTGAAGTTCTAGGCAGTTAATCAACCTCTCTAAGGTATCATGGTGTGCGGATCTGTAGAGCTAGGACCTGGGCAGTTCTTGTGTTAGTTCAGTCCCAAGAGAGCCACTGTGGTCAAATCCTAAAGGGCAGATCTCACTGGCTTGACTCCATAAGAAATGATGTTTTCTTTAGGAGACAGAAGAGGTGTGGTTCCTCTGTGCTGGTCTTGGTGGTCAGAGGGTCGAGTGCTAGAGCCAGGGATTTCCTAAAGGGAAATGACCACTGAAGATGTCCTAAGGGGAGGTCACTACTGAGGATGTCCTAGGGGGAGGTCATTACTTAGGTTTATGGCTTTCCTCCAGAGTGGCTTCTGATTTTAGGTTTGTGGACTCCCTTTCCCTTTCCCTTTCCCTCACCTCCCCTATTCTCTTTTTTCTTTTCATTTCCTTATTTCCCTCCCCTCCCTCTCCCCTCCCTCCCTCCCT